CTGATCTATATCTTCTTGGAGTCCATGGCTCCAAAGCATCAGGATTTCTATTGTAATAGTAACTCATCATCCCTTTTGGGACTTCTTACCTACCTTTCTATTTCCTTTTAATTTCAAGCTGTCACGTGGCACAAGAGATACCTAACTTCACTTCTCTGCTCTTGTCCCCAGTCAGGACAGCTGGGACGTTGTCCAGTAAATTAATTGTATTTTTGTTGATATGTAGGGTCAGGAAGGGAGTGTTGGAATTTGTCCTCCAAAATATTATAAAAGGTAGCTCACACAAAGAGACATAAAAGGGAAGGACAAGCAAGATAACATATCTATTGCAATCTTCCTCTTTTCCTAAGATAGGATGGGCAACAGTTATTATTTTGAGACAAATGACAACTACCATGAGCTGTGGCCAAACATAGCTGCATGTACAAGTTTGGAGAAAAGTGGTACAAAAATGTGATAGCACTTTAAGGAAACTTGCTGGAAAATTTTGAATCAATTTTGTTTGGTAATTAAGACATTGAGCTGGTCCTAGGATTTAAATCCATCATCAGCCACAGAAGTTCCTAGGTGACTTTTCACCAATCACTGCTAAAATGCCTTACTGGATTGTTGTGGAGAAATAAAAGAGAGTACTGCTTTGAGATTATGAAGAAAAGGTAGGATATCACATAAATGATTGATTTTGACATTTTGGAAAAAGGCATCAGATATTTTCAGAACCTCCACAACAATTTTTTTACCACTCTTGCAGCCTACCTAACATGTAGATTTGTACCATTGTATTCAAGACTGAATCTGAACCCCAACCCAGATTTGATCTTGCAACATTATCCTGGGTCACATATATTTGCCTTCATTTGTGAAGATTATCCAGGCTACATTATGAATTAGTGTTTCAAACAAGAGGGAGAGTTTCTGGGTTATCTTGCTTAATTTTGCTTATGAATCTTTGAACAAAGAAGCATCTGGAATGTAGCAGGAATGCTACAAATCTAGTCTTCAGGTGTGTAACTATTTCTCATGATCTGGGCATGTGATGGAAGGGCATGGAAAGATTAACACGTGACCTTGGGATTTGTATCATGCAACTCTAAATATTTTGGGATACGTCCGATGCACAGAGTCAGGCCTCCTTCCTCTTTACAGGCAAAGACTCTCTTGGAATTCTACCAAGAATTGCAATTGGACCATTTTGAGCAAAGACCTGATAACTGCATCTTGCTGGCTGCTCCTCCCCATCTGAAAGAGCTAGTAAGAGAGGAGATTCGCCTGCTCCTGGTTGGCTTGCAGCAAAAGGCATTGGAGGAGGGCAGGTACTGGTGAAAATGGACAGGCCACAAGGAAAATATTTTTCTTCCCAATATTTCAGTTATACGCTGGAAACAAGTTTGTTTTATTACCCCTCCAGGGTTTTCTTCACTATCTAAACCGTGCTGTCTCTCAGACCCAGCCTTGTGTAGTTTGGTTAGAGGAGTTCATCTCACATTGTCTTTATTCTAGCCACTGCGTCATCATGACACTGTGGTTAGAATGTAGTATTGCAGGCTGACTCTGCCCACTGCCAAGAGTTCAATCCTGACCAGTTCAGCCTTCCACTCTTCTGAGGTTAGTAAAATGAGGGCCCAGGTTGTTGGGCGCAATATACTGACTCTGTAAACCACTTAAGAGAGGGCTGTAAAGCACTGTGAGGCGGTATATAACTCTAAATGCTATTGTTACTGCTATTCACATGATTGAGTGAGTTTAAGCCATGGTTTCTTTCATACAGCGGATAGGGGGAAAGAAGGGTCTTTTGGTCAAACTTGCATTTTTTTTTAGTCTTAAGGATGTTTATCTAAATGATTTTAATTCCATATTCCAATACATTTATGGCTGCAGTCCTTAAATGTAAGAGATTGGTGGCCTACTCATGACTCTATTATTTAGAAGATTGCCTCATGCCTGCTTCTTATTGCATAGGGACCACGACTGTGCCATTGCTAAATACAACACACATGTGATCAACTTTGCTTTCAAGACAAATGCTGGAGGTAATCGGCCGTCATCCAGGAGCAACAATCTCATCAGGTAAAACCCAAAAGTAAACTTTATTCAGCTGTCTTGTATATTACATATCTATTGTAATATGTTAATTCTTATATACATGTTTCCCCCCCCCTTTTTAGATTATTTGGGGGGGGGGATTGTTATATTATTTTTATATTATATTATTGTATACATTGTATTTTTTTTTCATTTTCTTCCTAGTTATGTTTATATGATAATGGGAGAGGAAAGAAAGAGGGAGACACAGACAAATAAGTGTTCCATTAGACTTATTTTGGATAAATATAATGAAGTTTTAATTAATAGTATCTAAGTATGCATCAACATATAAGGGATGTTTGCCTAGGTCCAGTATTTTGACCTGGTGACTGTAGTTTTTCTGACTTTGGGTATTTGGGCAAAAACTGGTCATGAACGGCTTTCTTGTTCATCTACCACTGGAACTGAAATGCATGCTGTGTTAGGTGGGTCAGTCACCGCTCTGTAATCTCCATAGAGGAGAGGGAGTTCAGGACATTTGCAGACATGCAATAAAAGCTACTTAACAACTCCATCCAGCTTCTGCTTCCCATTCCTGGTCTGAGCTGCTCCGTGCCAGAAGGCCTAATTGTGGACTTGGAATCTTGCCTGGCTGAAGGAAAAGCTGGCCTTTCTTAAGTTGTATGACATTTGTATTAATCCCATTTCTGTTTTCTTAGGTCATTGTCCTGTAACAGCACAAATGATTTGGAACCATATTCTGATAAACTGAATATAACTCAGATCGGCGAGATAGCCTCTAGACTTAGGCAAGTTTGCATACCTCCTTCCTTTCTGCTTTATATTTTTCTTCTAGGAACAGTTATTAGAAGCAAGGAGTGTAAAGAGGACTTGTAAGGGAGATAAACAGAATTGCCAATGGTAAATACGGTAAATAATGGATTGGCTCATCAGAAATAGGAGTGCTTGTGGCAGCAGAGCATAAAAATACATGCCAATGAGCCCAACAATTTGTATTCAGAATTTCTTCCTCTGCTCCCTATATGATAACCTGCATCATACTCATGAAAACAAGAACAGGGAGGTCTGCAAAGCATCTCATTCTGATTTCCTCTGCCTGCACATGTGTTGCATGTTTCCTTCTGTGTGAATATAGTGAATGGATCAGTTGTTGCAGAAGAGCTTTTGAGCATCAATGCAATGAGAACTTTTAAACTGGGAATCTTAGTGAAACAGCCCTATTGCACTTGCTTCTAAAGGCATCGTGTCAACTTCTGTCTTGAAATCTTGGCCTGAATGTATCTGAACTTCCATTTCTTTCCCTCTTTGGAAGAGGCAGAATGTGCAACCTGCCCCATTGCATTATGGGATGCAAAAATGTGGTTTTCAGGAAAAAGGATCACGAAGCTGACACCTCACTAAACAGTATATAGTACTATGAGTTCTAGGAAGTTGATATAGGAACGAAAGGGGTCCTAGTTGCAAGGAATCCAGCACAAAACAGTTCACTGCTCAGGAGTTAGGGAAATTTTGAACCAGAATGCTAATATTCTGAGGAACAGAAGCTATTAAGGTTAGGAGTGCTTGTGAATTTTCTTATTGAGCACTTCAGTTAGGCACCTCCCTAACTTGGATTTCATGTCATCCCCAGTGCACTGAATTCCTATTGTAAAAAAGTAGCTGATGTCCGGTCTTCTAATTCAGTTTTGAATGGCTAGCTTCTATAATGGGAAAAGACAAAAAAAAATATTGAAGGAACCTGTGGAAGTCTCATACTCGGTATCTGCAGTTGGTGATTGTTTACTTTCTCCCAAATTCTGTCAAGCTTTATTAGAATCTCATTTTTATCTAGGACTTTGCTAGAGGATGAATGCCATGCTCTGGAAAGATACATTACACATTTACAGGTAAGGATTATATCTCAGCTTTCCCAGAGCTTCTACACTCCTGCACTTCTAAAAATCCAATTCAGATTGTGGTCATGGGTCTATGAGGCTGCTTTGTACACCAGTGTCGTTAAACTTCATTCTCAACTTGCTCTTCATTTAGAATATCCAAAGTGGTCCAGTGATCTCCTCTGCTTTGGAAGCTTGTCTTACGAAGGACTCACAATCCTATGGCTACAGTACTTAGGTTTTTCAAGGAGGGAGTATTATGTAATGAAGATATGTTTGACTTTTATCTCAGCTTTGTAACTAATTAATTAGGTGCCGTTCCTCTCATCTTCTCTGATCTGAAGGTGGTGGTGATGATGAGTGCTGAGAGATGTAGAGTAGGAGAAGTCAGTGGTATTTTTGGTGTGCAAATGCTTTGGATGCAAAGTTGCTACAACACTACCCCCTGCTGTTTTTCTCTGCTTTTCTGAACCAACTTTGCTCTGTGCTCTTTGCACAGGTATTCTGGGTAATATTGTCGCAATGACATAGGAATGAAGAAGGCTAACACAGGCTACTTTCCAGGGAAAAGGAAACTTAATCTCCTTAACTTAAGGGACTGGGTGTGTATTGCTCATCTAAAATAGCTTTCTGTTGTGATAGGGGCATGTAAGAAGGGGGTAAAGTAAAACACTTCTGTGTACAGAGTTCTCAATGTATAAACTCTTTTGGGAAAGACAGGTGTTCCTCTGGGAACTTACACATTTCAGCCTCCTTTCAAAACATTTCTTTGATTTACAGAACCAACTAGAGGAAGTGCATCAACATGCCACTGAGCTGCAAGACAAAATGCATGAACCTACCATGGCTGGTATGCAGAACTCTAATCTCATGCCTTTATTTAGAATTACACTGGGAATTGGAAAGAGGGTTTTTTTAGTATAGACAGTATAAACAATTGGGCATAGATTATTTCTAAGTGCTAATGTTCTTGGGCTTATTGTTTCTCCATCTTGAAGTAATCCTCTGTCCGCAGAACTACAGGAAGAGAAACGTGTCATGGAGCGGGATTTGCAATTGAGCCTGCCCAAGTCATGTCCTAGGCCTCCTTCCCCAATGTCAAACCAGCTTGGGAATAGCACCCATTTGTCTCAACTCAGGTAGTATGAAAATGCTTGCAAGCTACAATACTAAGAAGAGGTGGAAAGAGCAAAAGCCTTCCAGGAGAAAGTGAGAAATTTAATTCAGTCTTGATTTATTATTACTCTATCTCCAGAATTTTGAAGTAACATTTTTGGAATTTGTTCAGTCCACTTCAGTGGAGTTTGGAGATCCATAAACTCTTCTGCAATGACTCAAATTTCTGCAATTGTGTTACTTTTGATGGAAAGATGCTTAAATAAAACCTTTTGTATCACACAACTCTTTCTCTTTATTTCACAGCCACCCAAGAGGCTTAGTGAAAGAGCCAGGATTTGGACAGCTCAATCCTGCTTCTAATGAGATTCCTTCTCCAGATCCCAGGGATCAGATTACTCTACTCTGCTATCGGCCATCACCCCGATGGAGCCATTCAACAAGAACCCCTTTGGGATGGTTGCATCCAAAGAGTGAGGATTCCAACCAAGGAAGGAAGGACAGTGACACTAAGCTGCCTACAACATCAGGACATCCAACTGCTTCAGTTGATAGATCGGCATCAGCATCAACTTGGGAACCTGCTTTTCTTCCCATGCCTCCTACAGAACCTTGTCCTCCGTCTCGCTTTTGTCCCCGTGTTAGATTGTTGCAGTGTAAAGGACCAAGCTAAGAAAAATAGAACTTCCTCTTCCTCTTGACATCTCCTCATTTGCTTTGTGGCAACAGTGCCCACTGAAACTGTATGCTGCTGTTTCCTATGCTTGACATGGGCTTACTGTTTTTGCTCATTCTTATGTTCAAATTCATGGATTCCAAAGAAAGTAACAAGGCCATGCTAAATAACCCTTCTTCTGTACAGATAAGTGTCCTGGGAATGCAGCAGTGCCCCCTGGGATCCTTCCTCCTCCTCCTCATCTCCATTACTCAGTACAATAATTCCATGATAACATTAAAGAAAAGGCACAGCTTCTCAAATTGTCCTTCCAATCCCACAGAAAGAACTGTACATCCTGGGTTCAGGAATATAAATTTCATTAAAATCTATGAGACTTTAACAATCTACAACTGGGAGAGTCACAGTATGGGAGACTCGTACAATTATTGCTATGAACAATGAGAGGTGGCAGTGGCAGTTGCCACACTCTACAGGAGAGGGAGGGACAGACATGGAACCATGCATTAAATAGTGCATTTTCAGTACAGAGGAGGGAAAGGGTTGGATGCTGGCAGCTTAAGGTAAAAATGCCATCATGACATGAAGCCATCTGTCCTATCTGTGCATTTGGCACTTAAAACCATGGCCATTTTGCCCATGTCACTGGCTGGGGCAGTTACACTGTGGGTAGGGACCAGACCCTTGCTGTTGGCATTGGTAGCAGTTGTGCATTCCTGGGAGCTGAGGGATGCCCCTTACAAGAAGTTTGGCATTGATGTCCCTACAAAAAGTTTGGCATTGGTGTCCTGGTATCATTGCTGCCACAGGATAAAGGGCAAGGTAGTGGCTGTCAGGGCCTCCTCCAAGGCCTTGCTCAGGATAAAGTGCAGGCAGCAATGCTGAAATGAAAATATGGGGCAATGAGGCAGGAAGACACAACCATTTAGTTACCGCCCCCTCCCCATTCGAGCCAGTGTGAGAACCTGGCTTGTGTTATGAAGAGATCGTCCTGCCATGAGAGACTGGTGCTTCTGGCCAACTTCTTCATGACTGTAGCATAGGAATAGAGGCTTCCATCCCCACTGGGAAATGGTAACCCAGGGTCCAGGGCTAACCAGGAATAGCTTTTGTGGAAGATCATGCGTCCTGACCTTTGTGCTTCCCTCAAGTTGCAAGGGCTGGTCTTGGCACATCATCGACTCTTAGCACCATGGTTGGCTCTGCTCCTTTCCCTAGAGATGGGGGCGGGGGCAGGGCTAGGTCCCAAGGGTCCCTTGCAATTGGAGGGACCCCTATTCAAATTCATTTGCTCCTCTGTCAGGGAAGAGAGTAAACAATGGCTTCAGAGGCTCCATTCCTCAGAACTCAAGTTCGGCTTCGGCGTAATTCAGTTCAATACTTTGCTCCACCTCTACACAGTGTGTGGCAGCAGCTTACAGGAGTTTCCCATAAGCTTGGGACTTTCCTAGATTTGAATCAGTCACATAGTGTGTCTATTAACTATGTGCAAGGATGTGTGTGTGTGTATGTGAAAGAGAAGGAGGGGAAGGGAGAGAGAGAGAATAATTCTGGACAGTTAGACAAATAAGGTTAGATTCTCCCTACCAATTATGAGACTTCTGGAATTTTCTTAAGCTCTTGGAACCATCATTGGAACTTTATATCTACAGTCCTGAAAAAGCTACCCCACTTTTCATAAAATACTAGACAAGTGGGAAAGCTGGGAAGGAATAGATACTGATGGGTAGTGTGCAGTTTTCCATGCATGTGTGCAAGAGTTCTCATAAAGGCAGTAGTCTAGCTGAAGGTTGTCTAGCTCTAGACTGAACTTCAGCCTAGAGCATCAGCTCATTTTTGAAACCACTGCTGACCCCCCTGCAGCACTCCCATTAGTTTCCTTTGTGGGGCCAGGCAAATAGCCCTGATCCAGGGCAGTGAGGGGACATATCATCCCCGGTAGATTCTTGATTCGCTGGACCCAGGAGTAGCTGCCAGAAACCATCCTGAAGGGATTTCTAAGCTAAGACATCAACCAACCTTCCTACTGGTACCTCTCAAGGAACCCCCACCTAGTTAGCCAGCGCACACATCTCTGCCTCTGATCCTGGTCCTGGCTGTGAATTGGGGCCATCTGAGCATGACTTGTAAACATAAGGGTTACAAGATGGCACAGGGACACTAATGAGGTGGGTGGGATGGGAACTCATAGCCCCCTCCCCCAGAGTCCTGCACAGCCTGGGAGCCAGGGGTCCCCCACCCAGTGGGGGTACTTTAGTATATCTGAGCAGAGCAGGGTTTAGAGAACCAGGACAGGTGGGAATGGATCGATGCAAGGAGTGCTCCCTGCCCTGCCTCCCAGGCTAAGGTTCACATCATTGAGTCTTGGCTGTGGGTTGAGCCATTGCTTCCGATGGTGATGGCAGCCATCATGCCAGCCTCGTCGCTTTTGGGTTTCTCAGGGTTCAGCAGCTGCACCTCCAGCTGGGATTCTGTTGAGCTGAATGCTGTTGCGTAGCGGCCTGTCTTGTGCTCAAGAAGCGCCGGGCCCCACTCCCGGCTTGGCCGAGTAGCATTTTTCAAACGCTGCAGAGATACAAAAGGCAAACAAGGAGTTGGTGGTTTCAAGACCTGGTTTGCGGCGGGATCTGAGGCAAGCGCACCCATCATGTCCAGAAAGCAGCAGCATCTCCGCCCAGCTGCCCGCAAGCCCCCGTCCTTACCTGCAGTAGGGAGTCTCCTTCGGAGCGCAAAATGTAGTAACCTGCATAGATAGGGATGCAGACGACCGACGAGAGCGCCATACAGAAACCAATGGCGATGGCCCAGGATGGGTACACGTATGTGTTGTATTTGATCGGTTCATACTGAATCACTGTGAATATGAGGATAAACTGGAAAGAGAGGGTGGGGGGGGAAGGCTGATTGAAACCAAAGTATATACTGCATGGCATCATTCCTAGTCTTGCATTCTGGGGACCTTCAAAAGCTCTCTTGATTTCTCAGACATGGATGTTTTTGTCACGGGAAGTAGAAAACCCCTAGCCTTCTCTCCCTCTCCCCCCCCACTTGCTTATCACTGTGTTTTTGTCACAGTGACAAAAGTAGCTTAGTCTTTATTCCATCCTGATTATGTCATTAGTCCCCCAGTCCCCTTTTTCCCTCACTCCCAATCCTGTCTCCTATTATCTTTTGTCTTCCTCCCCTGCCCCCCCACTTTGTACTCACAAAGATGATGACTGGAGAGATGAACCTCCAACAGATCTGGAAAAATATGGGTGGTTGAAAACCCAGCATCATCTCAATGTCCTTGAAATAGCTCCGGTGCCCTGGATGAGAAGATGGTCAGTCGATTAGAGTGGAGGTATTATATAATTAGACACTAGGAACACTGCAAGAGTCCACAGGGTGTATTTCTTTGTTGTGTTTCTCCCCCGTTCCTCATTGTGGCTCCTTTGCTCTGCTCCTACCTCTATCACAACTCCTGAGAGGGAAAGCACAGCACAAAGGAAGTCTCTGCAATGAAGAGACTTGAAGCAAGTTCTCATTACTTAGTGGCAGAGTAACTGAAAGGGTTAATATCCAGACCAGAGAACACCAGGCAAAATATCCTTTGGGTCACGCCCTCTTGGGGCAATGGGTTCCCTCGGTATGGTGTAAATGTGATTGCAACAGCAGTGAGTGGTTCCAAGCAGTGGTGGGATTCAAATTTTTTTACTACCAGTTCTGTGGGCATGGCTTGATGGGTGTGGCAGCGGAAGGATACTGTAAAATCTCCAGTCAGAGGTGGGATTTGCCGGTTCTCCGAATTACTCACAATTTCCGCTATCGGTTCTCTAGAACTGGTCAGAACCTGCTGAATACCACCTCTGGTTACAAGGCAACACAATAACCTGACTCCCTAGAACAAGGCTCCCCAAACTTGGCAACTTTAAGACTTGTGGACTTCCAACTTCCAGAATTTTCCAGCCATCTATGCTGGAGAATACTGGAAGCTGAAGTCCGCAAGTTTTAAAGTTGCCAAGTTTGGAGACCTCTGCCCTAGAACATTAGCCTTACGCCCTCGAAACTTGTGCAAGAATGCCAGATTTCTGTACTAAATCTGCTGCTGTAATCTGTTTTTTTTAACTACCATCTCTTTTTAGTTGGGGAGAAAGTAATCAGATCTGCACCTTGGATCAGCAGTCCTCTGAGCTGTGAGTGAATGTGTCCAGTGAAACCAAATACTGGCAACAGCCATTTGAATTACTGTGATTGGATATTAGTCTGGTCTGCATTTGAGTTTATGGACTCTTCACAAGAAAGAATTGAACAAAAATTCCTGATTGCAGCTTTTCCCTATCTGTTCCTTCTTCCAGGCTCCAAGGTCAGAAAACTATTCTGGGAAAGCACCATTTTCTACTCTTGAATCTATATAATATAGTTAATCTTTCAGTATTCCTGGCTGTCAGGCCCACAGGGGAGTTCTGGCTCTATTGTTCAAGTGCCATTCTTATTATATTCTTGAATTGTTCCAATTAATCCATGCAACTGGGCAGAAGATACTCACCATAGACATACATAATAGCAACACACATGATGCATGAAATAACCACAAGTGAGAAACTTGCTGCATAATTGTCCATCAGTGATAACCAATAAATACCAGCCTAGAGGAGAAACAAAAGAAGAAGAAAACAGTCAAGTCCTGGATTAAGCAAGCCTTGCCCCCTTTAGCCTTAGGATGAGAACAGCCTTAGGGCTGTTTATTTCTGCCTTGCCCTTTAGCTCTCCCTCATACCTGTGTGGTGAGTGGGATACCTAGCAGAAAGCCCACCACAGCCACACCTAGAGTCACAAAAGTCTTCCAACGCAATATCCATTCGTTTCCCACTTCATCCACAATGGCTGTGACAAGAGTTTCCAGGAGACAGAACTGAAGAAACATAGTGAAGAAGAAAAAAATAAAAGTTATACATACATGCCATGGAAGTTTTGCTCTCTCTTATCTTCCTTCATTTAGCAACCATAAAATCACACAGTCTCCCTTTCTCTCTCTCCAACTACAGGCAATCCTTGATTTACGACCATTCATTTAGTAACCATTCGAACAATATTGAGAAAAGTGACTTATCACCGCTTTCCACACGGCCGTCGCAGCAGCCTCATAGTTACATGATCAAAATTTGGATGCTTGGCAACCGGTTCATATTTATGACAGTTGCAGTGTCCCAGAGTCAACCTTCTCACAAGCGAAGTCAATGAGGGAGCCAGATTCATTAAACCATGTCACTAACTTAACCACTGCATTGATTCACTTAACAACTGTGGCAAAAAAGTTGTAAAATGGGGCAAAAGTATTTAACAAGGGTCTCACTTAGCAACAGAAATTTCGGGCTCAATTGTGGGTGTAAGTCGAGGACTACCTGTGCATCAGTTTTGATTAATTTAAAGGTTGGAGATCAGCATGCTTCTTAAGTGAATCAGCACTTGGGGCAAATATACTCAGGGGTGGGATTCAAATTTTTTTAACAACCGGTTCTGTGGGCATTGCTTAGTTGGTGGGCGTGGCTTGGTGGTTATGTGACTGGGTGGACATGGCTTGG